AAAATAATGATAAAATATATATGTGCAATGTTTTTTAGGATCATTTTATTTCTGAAACAGCAGCATAACCTTTCTTAAAGTTTTCTTAAAGGGGGGCTTTAATAGTAACAAAACCTTCCTCAAACAAGTAAAGTTTTCTAGTTACTAGCAAGGAGAGAGAGGTGGGGGGCTTTAATAGTAACAAAACCTTCCTCAAACAAGTAAAGTTTTCTCATGGCTAGCATGGTAAGAGTTAATTAGTAGGTTGTTGATCTTGTACTGGAGATTCTTAAAGAATTAGGTTATTGATGGATAATAATAAAATGAATTTCTCTGCAGACCTAAGAGGCCATCAGTAGTGTATGAGTGTTTGTCTTGATATATAATGAAACAGACTGGTATTTTAGAAAGCAGTAAACATATAATTTCCTTTTATTTGTCTTAGCTCGGGTAGTTCACACGACTCTCAGCTTAGGTGTGCTATTGTTGACCTGTATTATGTGCTGTATGGACGGACACGACCAACTTCCCTTCCAATTCCAGAGGTAAAGACTGTATATTAAAGCTAAGTTAATAATACATAAAAACAACAGTTACAAGTTTGTTACATGTTATATAGGAATGAGGTCATATATTCTGAAGTTCGAAACATTGATAATAGTTTTTAGTTACCAAAAGAAACAATTGTAAACTATGATGTTGTAGTTTATGCATATGGTATGTGATTGTAAAACTTGCTACACTCTGAACAGGTTGTACTTCATATAGTTTACCATCTAGTTTTTTGTATTTCCAGTTGGCTGTTGTACTGAATTTGAAAGAGAAAAAAGCACGGTTGAATAGTTCTGTCTCACCAGAGGATGATGTGATTGTAAGTACTTGTCTTATAAACTGTGTTTATAGAGGATTCTATGACCATAAGAACTACAGAGGTTGAGTACACTATTAGAAAAACAGACAAAATGATTCTCACCGTGTTGTTACAGTCAATGTTGCCACGTCCAGCCATACTCTATCTGATGACCCTGCATCTTGAAAATAGCCCTGCAACTTTCTTTCCATTGCAACAGGCTCTCTCGTAACACTACCATGTTAATTGTTTATGCCTCCACCCTGCAAGCTTTCCATAATCCATCTGGGGTATGAGGACAACAGTTTCACTGCCTGTTTAAACTTTATAGGCACTGCATCTGGTGACTTGACCTGCATGTCTTCATAAGTAATAGCATGAATACTCATTTCATTCTTCAGCTGCTTGAGGTATGTAATGTTTGTACAAGAGGTATGACTAGAGCATTATCTTGGTGAACCCCTATCCCATTGGCATTATTTACAGACAAATATCCTTCTTGATTATGTTGCGTGCTGTTGCCTGGAACATTTTTGCCACTAATCTTTGTTTTCATTGATTCTCAACTATGTAAAATCTGCACTTTACTTACCATGGATTGGGTACGACTTATTACAAGTCTCTTTCTTGATGGTCCAGGTTTTCAGATTGATCCACATTCCTTTGTTTTCAAGTGCCATTAACTCTCTCAACATGGGCTCGATCAATTTGCCTGACCACATGACCTCTTTGTATTCATTTAAAGTTTTTATAGATTTAGTACTTCTAACTGTCAATATATTGTATATATCTTCACAAAATTTGGAAGTCTTTCAGTTAATATTATAAGTCTTTCACATATAAACAAATCATATATTTTTTTAGTGAAGTGTTTTTAATAAACTAAAATAAAGATTTGTTTATGAATATATTGAGTATTTCATTTAAATAGTCCATGTCCAAAGTAATTTTCATGTTAAAATTAAAAATACTTTTTCTTATTTCTAAAATCTCAAATTTCATTTGTGTAATACCTAAAACCTCCTAAATGCATTTCAAACGTTTTTTTTAGTAAAACTTTATAGTTTATCTGTTATTTTCTCTATCCTATCTCAAAATGGGATTGGTTAATTCGACTGACTTAAATTACCCTTTTTTCTTCTTTAGAATGACCTCAAATTATATGAATCTACATTCGTTTATCCTAAGTAGCTCTAAGTTCATAACAGTATACTTCTATTTATACTTTTTTTCACCTTTTTATCTGTGCCATTATAAGTTGTAAATCACTCGGGAATGTGTAAGTGGCTGTGTTATTTGGATTTTAACTGCTAGATCAATAATATGTACTAGTTGAGAATCTTGTGATTTAACCAGATATCTTTTTTTTTTGTCACTCTCATTACACTTTCATTTGATGTAAAGTAAGTAGGGTTTTTTTCTGTACTTTTTGTTGTATAATTACTAGAAAGAAGGTAAATAAAGATTTATTTACTTTTTCTGAAGAAGACGGAGACAACTGAGAATTTAGTGGGATCTGTCTTATCAGACGAGAATTTATGTAAGAACAATTCCAGTCCAGAAGATCTTTTACAAACAAATATTGGAGAGAAGAGAAAGGCATCTAGTCCTTTGGTGTTAATAGAGGACCACCCTGAAATGGAATCATTAAATGCGTCAATAAAAGCGGAGCCTGTGAATTTGAACGAAGACATCTTGAAAGTTAAAGTGAAGGTGTGTGTGTGTGAAGAGTTGGAGGGTGATTGATATACAGTGTTTTAAACTGTTACCAAGTCTAAAGTTCTACATAAACAATTATTTGAGAGTTTAAATACAGTTATTTTATATAAAAAGTATTAGTATTTTAACTAAAGTATTTTTAATAGTATTTTGGTTGTTGGTACTAGGTATAATATGTTACTATAGGATGTTTTGGTTGTTGGTACTAGGTATAATGTGTTAATATAGGATGTTTTGAGTGTTAGTACTAGGTATAATATGTTATTATAGGATGTTTTGGTTGTTAGTACAAGGTATGATGTGTTAATATAGGATGTTTTGGTTGTTGTTACTAGGTATAATGTGTTACTATAGGATGTTTTGGTTGTTGGTACTAGGTATAATGTGTTATTATAGGATGTTTTGGTTGTTGGTACTAGATATAATGTGTTATTATAGGATGTTTTGGTTGTTGGTACTAGGTATAATGTGTTATTATAGGATGTTTTGATTGTTGGTACTAGGTAT